ACAGTCGCCCAACTAACGGCGAATGTCTTGCGGTTTTTGCTATCCGCTTGGTGACCACTTTAACTTCCAATTGGAAAAACAAAAACATCGAAGAAATTGCTGTTTCAATTGTGCTCGCGCATTTAGCCAATGTGGATAACCGCTTGGAACGGATTGTGTTCACGTCAAAAGTTCAAACTAGAAGTGACTTGCAGTCCGAACTAGGCGCATTCTCCTTTAAAAAAAAACATCGTAATGCTGACCGTGATGACGACTCCGGACCTGGACCTGACGCCAAGAAGAGGAGAATATTGACAATAGTGTGCCATTTCTGTGGCAAACCAGGACATAAAATTGCTGAGTGCAGAGCCAAAATGCGACAAAAGGGGGACGCGACATCTCAGCGAGACAAGCCAACTGTTACTTGCTTCAAGTGCGGCCAGCCTGGACACTTCGCAAATCAATGTCCGAAAAAGGAATCAACAAGTACACAGGGAGCATTCCAACGGAAAACTGTGAACCAGTGCTTTGTACTAGAGCCAACTGGAGTGATGATGCAGCTCGGTGAGACTTACCCAATTTCTTTTGATTCTGGCGCAGAGTGTTCACTCATTAAAGAGAAAATATGTAGTAAGCTAGCTGGTAAGCGTTTTAACAGCGTTATCATGCTAAAAGGTATAGGCGATACTGGCATATATAGCACCTTACAAATATTAAGCCAAGTCACCATAAATGAGAACGCACTTCAAATATTGTTCCATGTAGTGCAAGATAATCATTTGAAAAGCGACATTGTTATTGGCCGCGAAATTCTTAAACAAGGATTTAATGTCACTATATCACAAAACAAGTTTAACGTAGTAAAAGCCAAAGCCGTAAAAATTTGCTCAATAGATAGGGAACCAGTTGACCTTACAAATCTCGATACCGAATTGCGCGAGGCTGATAAAGACAAACTAATAAAAATGCTTGAGAATTACTCCACTGCACTTGTAAAAGGGGCACCATCTACACGAGTCACGACAGGGGAAATGAAAATTCGCTTGATTGATCCAACCAAAACTGTACAACGCCGGCCCTATAGACTTAGCCCTGAAGAAAGAGACATTGTCCGAGAAAAGTTAAGTGAGTTACTTAAATGCAACATCATCCGACCCAGCTGCTCCCCTTTTGCCAGTCCTATGCTGCTTGTCAAGAAGAAAAATGGTACAGACCGACTTTGTGTCGACTACAGAGAGTTAAACTCTAACACAATCGCAGACAGGTACCCTTTGCCGCTCATTAGCGACCAGATCGCTAGGCTGCGTGGCGCAAATTACTTCACGTGTCTTGATATGGCGAGTGGTTTCCACCAAATTCCTATCCACCCTGATTCCATAGAATACACTGCATTTGTGACCCCGGACGGTCAATATGAGTTCCTGACTATGCCGTTCGGACTCAAAAATGCGCCATCCGTTTTCCAACGGGCAGTCATGCGTGCCTTGGGTGACTTGGCCTATTCATACGTGATTGTTTACATGGATGATATCATGATCGTGTCACCCACAGTCGAATTAGGATTGGAAAGGTTGAAAATAGTACTAGACATTCTCACAGATGCTGGATTCATTTTTAATGTTAACAAATGTAGTTTCTTAAAAACAGTCGTTCAATATCTGGGATATGAGGTAAGAGCAGGGGAAATTCGACCAAACTCGCGAAAGATTGTTGCGTTAACATTGTTGCCACCGCCACAGACGGTTTTTGGTGTACGGCAGTTTATTGGTCTTGCATCCTATTTTCGCAAATTCGTACCCGGATTCTCTCAAGTCATAAAGCCGTTGTATTCCCTAACATCAGGAAGGGAAAGTTTTGCGTGGACTACTGAGTTGGAAAGCATTCGCAAGAAAATTGTGACTATTCTTACAAACGAACCAGTTCTGGTAATATTCGACCCGCAATACCCTATAGAACTACACACCGACGCTAGCTCAATCGGATTTGGTGCCATGCTTTTACATCGAATTAACAATAAGCTTCACGTTGTAGAATATTTTAGTAAAACAACTTCGCCAGCCGAGTCTAGGTACCACTCGTATGAGCTTGAAACTCTGGCAGTATTTGCATCCGTTAAACATTTCCGTCACTACTTGCTTGGCAGAGAATTTGTGGTTTATACAGATTGTAACTCGTTAAAGGCATCGCGAACCAAAATAGACTTAACTCCTAGAGTTCATCGCTGGTGGTCTTATTTACAATCTTTCAAGTTTGACATACAGTACAGAGAAGGAAAACGTATGGCACATGTCGACTTCTTATCTAGAAACCCAGTCACTCAGAAACAATTAATTTTGGAAAAAATTCCCGAGAAGCGAATAAACATAGCAGAAATCTCAAATAATTGGTAGTTTGCCGAACAGCAATTGGACCCGGATATTGCTGCCCTTGTCAGTAAACTGAATTCAAATGACCTACTAGACGAAGTAACTAAAACATATGATTTGAGAAAAGGGATGTTGTTTCGTAAAATCCAAAAAAATGGTAAGACACGATGCTTGCCAGTTGTGCCCCGAAATTTCAGATGGTCAGTAGTTAACCAGGTACATGAGTCAATCATGCACCTTGGTTGGCAAAAAACACTTGACAAAGTTTACCAATTTTACTGGTTTGAGAAAATGAACAAATATGTCCGTAAATTTGTTGACAATTGTATGACCTGCAGGACAGCAAAGTCACATTCCGGCAAAGTTCAAGCAGAATTACATCCTATACCAAGGGTTAGCATCCCTTGGCACACCGTCCATATGGACATTACTGGCAAATTAAGTGGTAAAAGTGATTTAAAGGAATATATCATTGTTCAAATTGACAGCTTCACAAAATTCGTACACCTGTACCACACTCTCAAAATAGATACGGAGAGTTGTATCAGGGCCATAAAGTCTTCAACTTCCTTGTTTGGTGCACCAACACGCATTATAGCTGATCAGGGTAGATGTTTTTCTAGCGGGCAGTTTGCAGAATTTTGCTGTTCAAAAACCATAAAACTTCATTTAATCGCGACTGGGGCAAGTCGTGCTAATGGACAAGTTGAGCGCGTTATGAGCACGCTCAAGAACCTATTAACTGCAGTCGAATTAAGCCAAAGGCCCTGGCAAGATGCTCTCGGCGAGGTGCAGCTAGCTTTAAACTGCACAACAAATCGGGCAACTGAGGCTAGTCCCTTAGAAATGTTAATAGGGAAAGAAGGTCGACCTCTTGGATTAGTTCCTCCATTGGACACAGAATTGGAAGTAGACTTAGACTCCACACGGGCTCGAGCAAGTAGCAGTATGAAATCTTTAGCCTTTTACAACAAAAATCGATTTGATAAGTCCAAGGCCGCCGTTGTAAGACACAGTGTTGGTGACTATGTCCTTCTCAAGAACGAGGAGAGACACCAGACAAAACTAGACCCAAAATTCAAGGGTCCATTTTTGGTAGTTAAAGTCCTAGACGGTGACATACATGTTAAAGTCGTTATCAAGTAAACGATTATATAAATACTGTCACGAGGACACAAGAAAATTTCCAGAGGGAAACATTGGACATTGAGGATGAAGATCCAGGCTCGTCAAATGGTCTGATAGAAGCAGAGGGTGAACCGTCCAAGTGAGACGATGGTGAGCCGTCCAAGTGAGACGAAGGTTATCCGTCCAAGTGAGACGATGATTGTTTCTTTTTGAATGAAATTTGGAAATTTAGTTAAAGAAAATGTAAAATCGACAATTTGGCAAAATATTATGTAATAAAACAAGCATCATGTTTTATTTTTGTAACTTGCATAGGTGAAGTTATTGAATTGAATTGAAAGAAATATGTTTTCAAATGTTTTAATTAAGAATAAATGTTAAAAGTTTGTATGAAGAAATGTTGAACTGAATATTTTATCAGTTGGATACCCGTCTAAGAGAGACGATTGTTAATGGTTATCCGTTTAAGAGAAACGATGATTATTGGTTGGATATCCGTCTAAAAGAGACGATGAATTAAGTTTGAAATCTATTACAAAGACATTTTTAAAGTTAATGTTTGGCATATTACACGAGGACGTGTCAAGGTCAGGATGGCCGTGTCGGAGCGTACTGTATGTACGCACTGTATTTGATTGTTATTACCAGAATTCCTGTGTGTGTATTGCTTTGTATGAGAATTCTGGTTATTACCAGAATTCCTAATTTCATCATACTAAAAAATATTGCATCAGCCGCTAATTGCGCCCTGATTGGTCCTTTGCATTTTGTCGCTTTAAGAAGTCCCGTTATAGCGCGACGACAGCGCTACAACGCTGTCGTCGAGTGTGGTTCGGTGCGAGGCAGAGAAACGAAAAGGCGAGCAGTTCAACTTTGAATCGAGAAGCCTGCGCATCGAAACTCGCTGCGCTATTAAAGCCATGGAAAATACTAACGACGCTCCAACATATACTTTTATCACACCACCTCGCGTTTCACCGTCATATCATCCTTATTCTTTTTATTGAAGTTTTCAATTGATCAAAAATCCCTCGTTTATTTCCATATATAATGATTTGCAACTACTCGTAAGTTATTAAAGTTAGGCTTTCATTTGGCATAACATGTAATACTTTAGCAGCTTTTATTTCGATTAAAAATAAAGCCAAGGTTTTTGTTTAAATTTTAGATCGCATGAAATTGCCAAATTTAAAATCATTTTGCACTTGCGCTGGTAGTAAGCATTGTTATAAGAATCCACGGCAGATAAAAACCTAAATAAGTGGTTTTGCTATATTTTCCAGTTTTGGAACCGAAGTCTCACAATTTCTGTAGAAAGGCGTATAGGACACAATTTCAAATCTACATTATTATTATCTTCTAATGGTGATATGCATTCATGGAAACGTGGTCCAAGTTTTTATATTAGAGTGGTCCTTTCAAAAATATTTACTTTTTATAAATTTGATTGTTTGAAGCGTGTTGTTTTAATTGATATTAAATTCACTTTCCATGAGTTAAAATAATTTTTAAATCGTGTTTCCCCCTTCACAAGTTCATATACGTCTAATAATAACTAACATCCTGTTTTCTGATTTACCTTATTCTAGAATATCGCGCATCAATACATAAATTGTATCCATATCGTATATAGTTATTCTATAAATAATAACAGTAACAGTAAAAATTAAATTTTGGGAATAATGGTTTTATGAAAATGTATGTAGTAATAAAGTTGTGGTAGATCGTAAATAAAAGCTATGTAAATAAAAAATATAGCCTTATGTCAATAAAGAAAATCATTTTATATATCTTTTTGGACGTAACTAAGAAAAAGTAATTGATAATTGAAAATATGTAATGCATATATTTAAAACTGTAAATATTTACCATCTTTAAATAACTTACTCTGCTGCATCATCGGTTTTTCCAGCGTCGCGATCTCCTATACCCTCACATTTAATTAAAACTTCTTGAAGTTTCTCTTGCACAAGTTGTTCCCGTAGAGCCGATGCGTCCGATTCTTTCCAAGCATCGCCTAATGTATCCTTTAGCTTTTGCAAAGCCTCTTCAGAAGTTGCTGTTAAATCAAGCGCCAGACGCAGCTTCTCTTCTGTAGATTTGATTTGTGGGCGCAAAACTTCATTGTCATTTACTTCATCCACATAGCGTCGGTGCAAATTAAATATTATATCAGCATAACGCTTAATACGGGAAGCTTCAAAAAACCGCTCTGCTTCCATTAAAAATTGCACAATCTTCATTTAGCAAAATACATATGCATTTAATATACTCATTAAATACCTCAAATTTTAATGCTCACCCGACTGGCCTCATTAAAAAAATTATCATTAATGTCTGTATACAAATTAAGTTCTAGAACATCAGTCTCATCTGTGCCCTCATCAAATATTAATTCAGATTTCTTTTCCCCTTGCTTAATCTTTTTAGACTTCTTTCCTTTTTTGGGCGGCATTTTAATAGTTAGAGTTAGATAATTAAAAATATATTTGCTCCGCAAAACAATTTTTTATTTATGTTTGTAGACATGAATATGTATCAAGTTAGAAGTTCAAGAATTTGACAATTATGACAAAGATAAATTTTAATTTGATTTCCAGTTATAAATTTAAATAAATCAAACACTCCAAACAGCTTAAGGAATTACCAGCTTTGTGGGCATATATAGGAACAATTAAGAAAGCTCTAATTGGGATTCCCTACTAGAAGATACCCTGATTCTATTCCTATCTGCGCTTTTTAATATTTTCCAAAATTTGTATCCGCATTACGACACCAATATAAAAAACGATGTTTCAAATATTAACTTTAGTTGGAGCTAATAATTCAAGCACAATTCAACAGCAATTTCGATTCTTCGAATAGAAAATAACATACGCATTTGAATGTATGTGTGAACATGTATAGGAAATATGCGTACGCCTTGTAACGTGCTTTGTCAAATTGGCCAAACGATGCCTTTAATAACTTCTGCTTTACTTAAAGGAAATTAACTCAAAATTTAAAGAATTTCGGAAAATTCGGACAAAAAATCAAAATTGTAGAAGCTATACATAAAACGAAATACAAAACCTGGAGGGTCTAGCTCTTAAGCGGTACGAGATATAATTTAATAACTGCATTTCGATCATACTTTACTCGATAATATTAGAACGGGAATAGTTATCGAATATTTGAAATAAACTTGATATGCGCGTGATATACACGTTCTCTAGTTCTTAATGATGCTCAGATCGACGCGTTCACACAAACGGACAGACGAACGGACGAGGTTCATCCGACAGGGCTGATAAAGAATATATATGATTCATGGGGCCTTGTACGCATTCTGACTGTTACATACATTTGCAAATAGGGTATAAAAATCTAGGCTGAGGGGAATATTATTTTTTTCTTTTTTTATTAAAAGATTTGCGTTGGCTAAATAGGTGAAAATTTTAATTGTTATCTTTGATTCATTCAGTGGGTATATTTCCGAACATTGAGTGTAGGGCAAAACTCTATGTTCTCTAAACCTAAATCAATAACTTTTATAATTTATTGTTAACCCTCTAATATTTTTCACATCTACCTTTATATAATTTCACTTTTTAATTCAGGAACACTCATAAATTCTCTATCGGATTCATTTTGACATTTGCCAAACTTATCTGTCAGATACAGCTGTAAATAATTCATGTCAAAACAAAAACTACTGAAACAAGTTGGGGTGCCCGACTAGAGATACCTTGATCCCAGTCCTATCTGTGTTTTTAGTATTTTCCACAATTTGTGTCGACTACTAAAAAAAATCAACTTAAAACCAACATTACGAAACCGAAATTCGAACCAACATTGCCTACGCAAGGCGCATTAACTCTACCAATACCGCCACTTCGTAACTTACGAGCGCCGCCTCTACCAGCACCTCCCTGCACTGCTTGTTCACGGAGTTGCAAATCTCAACTTAAGTAGCAGCTGACAACTGAAGCATAAAAGTAAGAAAGCTCTGATTTACAAACTTTAGCAGAGGGTCAGAATCCAAAACATTTTTGAAAGTAAAGGCTAAATATCAGCATTGAAATTTCAGTAAATCACTATCACATAAAAATAGATATATAAAATATAAATTGCACAAAAAAGATATGTTTCATAACAACGAAATCAATAATAAATTGTGAAGATCTAAAAATTAAATTTAAAGTAAGATAATGACTGTTACAACATTGTTAATTACACTTTATATGCCCAATGCTATTTGTTTTGTTTCGCTGTTATTTAACGGAATTCTATTTAATTCTCAGCATATGATCTACATATTCTATCAGTTTAAAAAGAATGCAATCTCAAACATATATACACTTTATTTTCAACAGAACTTAACGGAATTCTATTTAATTCTCAGCATACGATCTACATATTCTATCAGTTTAAAAAGAATGCAATCTCAAGCATATATACACTTTATTTTCAAAAGAATTTAAATTCTATCAAGAACTAAAATTGTATTGAAGATACTTAAACAAGTAAAAATAAATTAATAGCTGAAAACGAAATTTTTTGAAACGCTTACCCTTTTTGGTTTAATTAAATACAAATCTTCGAGTGTTTTGTGAATCTATGCATAGACACAAGCTATGAAAAAAACTTTTTAAGCTGATGGGTCGGGGTAAGCTCTATCTGCTAGTCGGTCAAAATGAGCTTTCAGGGGCCTGTTTATTCCGAAACCCTAAGACATAAATGGCATAGCAAAAAGTTCAAATGAATATTAGATATTATTTTGTTCCATAAATATCCAAGCACCCAAATTCAGAATAAAAAGCAAAATAATTAAAGTAATGAACAATCAATTTCAAGAACTCCCATCAATTTTATCATCAGGGTTAAAAATTCAGTAGCTAAAAAGTTATTCCCAAAGCAATGTCCCATATCTTACAAAGACATTACATAAATAGAGTACATCTGAAATTTGATATAAAAATCAGAACCGACCTATTCGTCCGAAATTATAAATTAACATTTTTTAAAGAAATTAAATGATCACAAAGAAGAATTAATTTATTGTAAAATAAAGGAAATTCAACACCTGGGGTGCAGGACTAGGAGATGCCCTGATTACAGCTTTTGTTTCTTAAATGCAGGATACGAAAAAAAACTAAGAAATTGTTACTATCTTCTCGGAAGGCATGCCAAACACATTCAGAGCTATATTTCGTTAATATTCTGTCTAGCGTGAATATTAATATTATCGGTTGTGTAATAGAAAGAAAATTATTATCATTTTTGCCGCTTGATATTTGCAATTAAATTGCAAGTGCGATAAGACTTTGGATAATTATCAATACAAAATCTATCTATCTGCATATCAATCAATCGACTGAGCCTGCCTGCCTGAATCACCTTTGCCACCAAATACCGGCCAATATAAAGATTCCATGCAGGATTGGTGTCAAATTTTTTGTCTTCCGTCCCCATCGTGTCACATACGGCACTATTAACTGTGCGGTTAAGAACGATAGCGCCAAAGTTCCTGTGAAATTAAGGCAAAGTATTAATTATGGAAGTAATTGTTGTGCAGTAAAAAAAAAAAAAAAAAATTTAAACTTATAGTTAACTTAGAAAAACAGATAAAATGTCAAAATTAATTCATAATTAGTCAAATTTCATAATGTTTATATACATTGTTTCCCACAGCAGCCACTTCGTTTGCACCGATTCCATTGGAAGGCCTATCCTAAACACAGTGCAAATAAAAAGTATGTGCCTATATTTGGTAATGGTTATTTAAATTATTTTAAATGTCAATCATTGTATTCTTGCCTTGATCATAAGTAAGAAAGTTAATAAAATAAAATATTTGGCAACTGAAATTATATGAAGAAATTAAATAATCGTGAAGAAGAATTAATAAATCGTAAAATAAAAGACATCCAACACCTTAAGAAAAAAGAAATTAAATTTTGATATGAAATAAACCAATTATTAACAAAAGTATATTAAATATTAATACATATTAAGAAAACCAATATTAATTACTATACCTAAGAACGCAATCTAAGTGCACATGTACTAACCTAGCACTACACTAAACACAAAAGAAAAAGAATAAATGACCAAAACCTAAAGTAAATCTCAATTGAGAAGTAAATGCATAACCCCAAATCAGAATGTAAAATACTCAAACTCCAGCACCCATCGGTCTTACCCAATTGTATGTTATAAAATAATAGTCTTTTATGTTTAAGTAATGAACCAGATAGAGTTTAGGCTTGGTTACATATCTGAATAAAATGGAATTTATGTCTATCGAAAAGATTTTGTAAGTTTCTCTGCATAGAGTATCTTCACCTTAGCAAAACGAAGATCAAGGTCGGATTGTAAAGTATAGAGCTAGTCGAACACTACTATATCGGCACATTTCGCGCCCTATATGGAGCTTCAGCAAAGTCGCAAATGCACATACTCGTCACAATTTATATATTATAAAATATTCACCATGTTCTTCATTGAGTTCCTTGTAGATCTCGTTGGTGTATCAATTGTGTTATGTCGTTCATGTTAAATACCATAATGTTAAATTCATCATACATTTTGATTGCTTTTGCCGATATCCATGGGCTCTGTATTTATTGACTATCAAATTTCATTGTTTCGAAAAATTCAGAGTTCCTAACGATATGGTAATGTTCTGTTTCACAAGACATTGTTGGGTTTAAATAAAAGTCTTGTAGTAGTTTTTAATTTTAATTTGTTGTCCATCAGGTGTTGTAATATATCTTAAGAATACTGTCTATATAAATAAAAATGTATAAGTTAACAATGCTTAACTGCTGCTGGTCCAGTTTGACACAACGACAAAGTTAGGTGCTGCCAACTTCAAGCGAGTTACAAAAAGGTTAGGTGCAGCCAACTTCAAGGAAGGTATAAAATTGCATGTAGCCTACTTTACAAAAATAAAGGAATTGTCATTCTTTTTTCCGGTTGAACGATTGCCAGACCAAGACGGAGGTGATCACGCGGAAATAAAGCATCTCCCATAATACAGTCTTAAAACTTTACTAAGTTTGAACCCACTATTTTTACAAAACGCTCGCGAACTCTACCAACACCGCCACTTCATAATTAAATTTCCCCCATAACATTTAAGTTTAGTTGGAATTAGGGGCAATATGTTAAGGCGTTTGCATCTCTAGAAAGCCAATAGAATATATAGATCATATGCTGAATATTTCATTAAAATCTATTAATTAAAACGAAAGTTATTGAACAAAACGTTTGGCGCCACGGGCACGCATTTTTCCTATTCGTGTGCACACGTACATTAAAATGCATGTATTCTTTTCTATTCTAAGAATCCAAATTGTGATTGAATTGTGCCGAATGAATGTAAGTTGCGGTGGCAAAACCAGTCTCTTTTAAAGGACAGGAAGTTTTTCAAAGAAATTTCGATTTTATTTGATTTGCACAATACATTAATGCCAACCTTGGACATTTGTTTCTTAAATGCAGGATACGAAGAAAATAGGAAATTGTTACCATGGACCACCCATGGCCACCTAGCACTGGTCAATATATTGATTCTATGCGGGATAGGTGTCAAATTATGTCTTCCGTCCCCATCTGCGTTTCGCTTGCAGCACCGTGAAATGTACCAAAGTTCTTGTGAAATTAATGGAAAGCATTAAAAATTTAAGTCAGTAATTGTTGTGCTGTAAAACAAAAAACATAATTGAAAAATCTAAATTAATTTATAATTAGTGAAATTTCACAATGCTTTCTTCACCTATCCCTCCATCAGCATGTACTAACCTAGCACTACACTAAATACAAAAGAAAAAGAATAAGTGGCCAAAACCTAAAATAAACGACAATGTGAGGCAATTGTAATCTTCGTATCTACGGTATTCTGTTACAGTCATTGGAGTATGTGTCCGAATTGAATCGTTTAATTTAGTTTCCGTAGTAATCCTACAATTTAGGTTTATTACATAAGTTGGTTTTGGTTGGTGTGAAAAAACCCTCTCCACCGCCGACAGAGCTATCCATTTTATACACAGCAGGTATGCAGAAGTAAAGTATAGAAATAGTAGTCACCACTAGATCGCCATATAAAGTAGTAAGATCCAAAAGTAACAAGTTTTTCGTTTTTTTTCGATGGCTAGGAAAAAAGTTGTAGTTGCTTGGTCTGTCTGCCTTTAACTGAAAGAAGTCTGCTAGGAAGTCATTAAGAAATACTAGATTGCGTGTTGATAGTTTGTTGTTAGTACTACCTTAGATTAACTATTGTCTGCGATTCGAAAACATGTTGCATGAACATTCCCTTACCAAATAATACTCTATGGATTTTTAGTAGCTAATTTTAAAACAACAGCTTGGCGTATATGTAACAATGTAAATTTTGTCTCCAAGCAGCCGAAAGACTGGCAAAAGGCATCCCTCAATAACCGGATGAATTATACTGAATTCTCTAGTCCAATCTGTGACTACGTAGTTGTTTTCGTCCTTATGAAGAACTGTTTGGTTTGTTGGACCCAGAAGCAAACAATAGTTGCATTGGCTCTAAGTTATGTACTGGTCGTTCACGGCAACAGAAAATAATTATAATTTTTTCCGCTTATCATTGTAATAAAATTGCAAGTGAAACCAAAATTTAATAATTTATCACTAAAAAAATTTTATAAAAGAAACAATTATAGCATCCTTTTAGGATCAGTTTTAAAGCCAAGATTATTAAAGCTAATTAAAGCTAGGAATGAGCTAAATCTAAGGGTCACTAAACTTATTCAGCAAGCTGAAAAAAAGCTGGAATATAGACATATAAAACGACATAGCGGTGACAAAAGGCCGCTTTTTTTTAATTTTTTGGCTGTAAAACCGATACTGGCACCAAGCAATTCAAATTTACCTTACAAATTGAATGTAAGACTCAGAACGAGGCCATAATATGAGAGACATGGAAAGCAGTCTGGCTGCACCCCAAGTCAATCGTCATTTCTCTTTAAGAAACTAAATTAAATTTTTAAATACAATAAAATCAATTTTTAAAAAGTTAGAATTATGAAAAAGGAATACGAAAGTAACAACAATTAAGAAAAACAAAATGGTGAAAAATATAAATAGTACTAGTAGTAAACGTCTGAATAAAATTAAAGTTCTAATGCTTATCGAAAAGATTTTGTGAGTTTCTTTAATAATAATGTAAGATAGCCCAGAATTTAATGTAATTTAATTTTGTAATTTTAATTTTCATAATACTAAATAAAACTAATAAATAAGATTGAAAGAGTTAAACTCATCTGAAGAAATTAGAATGAGCAGCGAAATTTTAAGAGAATAAGCAAAAACAGGAGAGGACTTAGCATATTATTGAATATTGGGCTTATAGACCATGCTTACTAAATGGCAACCAAACAAACTTTAAATATTGGCAACGACAACAGTTGCTAAATATCGCCATTTAAACCAAACCGATCATTTGTCGAACGATAGTTTGTTCAAAAACTTATGGGGTTGAATTGGAATGAATAAGTGGATATTCAAGGAACCTATTAATGAAAAATAAACATAGCAGGAGCTCATAGAATTACCATAACAGATCAGGAGATAAACCAAAGGTAGCTCATAATAATATCTCCTCTGAAAGGCATGAAGAAATTACACCGTCATATGTATCAAAAATTTCAAAAAAATATCTTGGAACCCATTATAACTATCAAGAATTGACCATTTAAATGAGATTGAGCATTTAGAATTCATATGGCTTCACTTTCACCACATATCGGCCATGAGTATAATATCAATCGTATATTATATAATATCAATCATATACACGATAAGAAAATGTAATGTAAAGAGGCGATTAAGCACTATAACATTTCCCTGTTCCATATAAGAACATAGATAATTAAAACTTTAAAATATCATGCCGCAAACTTTCTGGACATTGGCAAATTGTTCAAACATGAACAATTGATAAAAAAACAATATCAGACCCTTTGCATTATCACACTAAAATAAAATCTCAAAGCCACACGTTTTTTGGGCTCATGTCAGAATGTTCAAGAATGAGCACGCGATATACAGTTATAATACACAACACTGTATCACCTGCGCGTTATCTTTCTATAAGTAATAAAAAGGTCACCCTTAACTGCAGCGACCAACGCAACGGCTGAACAGAATGTAAAATGAGCCCAGACAATGTCCCAAAGAACTAAAATGGGATACTTGTGTAAACATCTGTTTATTTGCATGCATGATAAAAACTACCATTCCAGTGACCGGAAGTGGTTTAAATATTTTCATGTTAGGTATATAAGACTAGTATTTTAAGGAAATAAAAAATGTAGACTTTTAATTCGGTTAATGTGGAGTTGTTTTTCTTAATTCTCTTACATTTTGGTCCTCCGACATTGTGTGTTTTTCCCCACCAGTGGTAAGAGACATACAGAAGAAACCAGTGAGTTTTAAAAAAAAAACCAAAATTTCATAAAATATTCTGTTCTCACCCACCAGAGGTAAGATACAGTGGTGCTCAAATAAAAAAAAAGGAAAAATCAAAGTTGAACAGCTAAAAGAATATTTGGTAGGAGTACATAAGGAGTACAAAATTGAAAATTGTCACCCTGGTAGTTGACCACTAGGGCTTCACAAATTCCAAGATAATAAAGTTATAGTCGGAGAAATTGAATCATAAGAAGGGTCAGTTACACGACCTGTGGACAAAATATGCCCGCTGAGTGAACTAAAAAATGTAGACATCATACACAAACCAAAGGAACTCGAAAGAAACTTGCTGAGGTAGGAGAGAGAATCGAGACTAGGTGTGTTGATGATTATACTAATTTTAGATTACTCTGCCAAGTATCGAGTGCAAAGGTAACCAAAATCACTAAGACAACTATTTCAAAATTAAGTAACAACTCTGTAATTTATTTAGACCCGATGGGTGAGGTAGAAATAGTGACTTAGAATCTAATTATTTACTATAACCTACATCATATTTTAAAATGCTAAAGAAAGGTAGTGAATTAAAAGTCAAATCGAGACCACTGTGTAAAATTATGTAATTTTGAAGACCAATGCAGTATAATCCATCGATAATACAAAGAGACTAATACCATAATTAAAAGAAAATAAACTGTTTATACTACAAAAGAAACCAAGGCCTACACGTGCACCCTTGGGATTGATGGTATCATTATATCACATACAACTTGGGATAATGCCAACAGTAACAGTAGCGAAATATTGCCATTTAAGCCAAACTGTCCATCAAACTGTATTTATTCAACAATAGTTAAATAAAAAACATATTGGGTTGCCTTGGAAGGTAAAAGTAGGTGGATATTCAAGGTTCCCATTAATGAAAAAACATTTCCTGGTCCCGTATAAGAATATAAATTCATTTGCGATACAAATTTCAGGCAATTTCTTAAATAGGTAGTCCATGCCATTAGCAAATTATAGATTACAAATTTTCCGGTTAACATAAACCTCACCTTTCGTGGCAGTCTTTGAAAACGGAAAGTAGGTATACTCATCGATAACAATTACATAATGGTTTTTACATATGAATGACCCACAAATAGCGATCTATGGAAACTCCCTTTATTTTCAACCTTTAACAATAACTGTCAGTTTTTGTCTTTAGATTATATTTTTTAGGTTATTTATTTCACCACACACTATATGATGAATCACATATACGACTGCTGGCAGGTTTAACTGCCAGCTGGAGTCTAAGAGAGCTCTAGTTAATTGGTAGAATTCAGATTATTGTATATAATAAGTTTTCATTTATATAAAAACAGCGTTTGAAGTTAGATGTGTAAAAACGTAAACGCTGCTCTCTTATACTTTATATCTAAGAAATTAAGTTCAGAGGCCTATTCGTAAACATTCATGTCAAATAGTCATGCTTCTGATATATCCAAAATAAAGGGTTCGTATAAATAATACAAAAACTCCATGAAAATAATGGCAAATATAAAATAAGATTTCTCTCATAAAGTAAATGACAACTAGGTCAGAGTAATCATTGTCAACGTCATATTTTCCCTTTCAACTCTAAATTATATTTAAAATATTCATACCTATACATTAACGAAATATTTTCAAAAAGCGTAGACAATTTTGAAAAGTTATGGATCCAGAACGCAACGTAAAACGCCTTCGTAAGCTTTTCGGGGTATCAAGGACAATTCTTAAGAGGGCAGCTCGACGACCTAGCATTAGTGATCAAGAAAGTGAAGAGCAGCAGCGCAAACGATTTCAAATGCTCCGTGAATTACGCCAACAAAGATTATCGAGTCTTGGTGCCAATCAGAGATATGTACTAGAGATTTGTGCAGACATGATTGGATTAGATACTGAAGAAGTTGTTACGGGCATAGTTGATGAAAATCTTTATGTAGATAATCTTAATGGACTATTCGAAGCGAAAGGTCCAATGGCTGTGATGTTGAGTAATGCTCCTATGGTAGGCTATCCCGTTGATTCTGGGCGCTATCAAGATAAACTGCGACATACAGAAGTACATCGAGCTATTTGCTTATGCGCTGGTACAGTAAGATTGATTGGTAAATGGATGGTAGTATACCGACAACAAAACGACAAGGCAATAGAAAACCGGTCCGTAAGCGATGATGTGGCTATGTTTATGATCAATGCAGAAGGCCCTGATTCATGCTTGAATGTTGTCAAGACTTTTGTGGAGCAAGTGCTTAAGCCATCAATTGAAGCAGTTACTGATTTTGGGCTTGCCGAAAAGGAACAATTACAAAAGTTTTTCCATATTTTAAATATGTACAATACGTTTCTGAAGTCCTCGGATGCCATAGTATCATCTCGTGTTAATTTCGACGTTTCACATGACCTCTTTAAGGGGTTTTTGCTAGTAAGATGGCAAATAGAAGCTAGCTCAAAAATTGTTAGTCGTGTGAGACTAGTAGAACGATACTTCGAGAAGTGGTTGCGGCAAATACAAGGTATACTTGTTGAAGGAAAGCAGATACAACGAGATCCTCCCGACGTAGGACCGTTACACATGTTAGTAAACTGGCGCCAAATGTTAGCTAAGTTAACTTCTATTACGGAATTTGTAACATCGCGTGCATTTAATAATCACAAGGATTGCCTAACATTGTCACGATCTTCAAAACTTCTTAACGTACGTATATTTATTAAATATTCCGAACTACACTCGCTCATAAACTAAATTTCTGCCCATCTGTCTGTCAGTCCGTCTCTCTACGTGAAAATAACGAAAAACAAGAAAATTTTGATTGGGAGTATAATCTCGTATATACCAATATTATAAATTCTTAATATTTCTCCTATGATGTTGTGCACGTCGGCCACTGTTGTCACTTGGAAATAAGTTTTATTTTCAGAATGAGAGTTGTATAATTTGCATGTGATTAACCTCTTTCACACACAGTTTTTGTCCTAGCTGTAGCAATTTCTCATCTTTATCCAACAGTGAACTCTCACATTCAACTTTAGTATTTTTTATTTTTATGCATTATACTCTTTTTAGCGGTGGGATAAAATCGATAACCAGGTTACTTTAGCGTTAAACGAAGCAAAGGATAATGTTCGTTTTATTTCATCATTACAAAAGTTTTGGGACCCGCTATACAGGTAAAATATTTGTAATAAATATTTTTTAAATTGGAAACTAAAACAATCTTTTCTGCAGATCATCACCAGATGAAATTATAAGTAGCTTACCTGGGCTAATGGTTGCAATTCGCAATGTTTGCAAGACAGCACATTATTTTAATACTTCCGTAAATTTGACTGGACTTATGGTCAAAATATCTAATCAGCTTACAATTACCAGCAAAAATTTTATAACTGATAATGAACATCGAAGCCTTTGGGAGATATCATCAGTGGAGATTATTGAAAAAATTGAAAAATGTAGAGATGTTATGGATCACTTCAAAAACATTTATATTAACACCGTAGAGGAAATGAAAAATAGTAATGAAAGGCCATGGACTGTATCTTCAGTTTATATATTTACATGTCTGGAGAAATTTCTACATCGGCTGGAAAAGATTAAATGTATTGCAAATACAGAAATAATATACTCAATTTTGGATCGTATATTAATAAGTGGAATGGAAAAATTTAATACAATGATAAAAGCTGCTCGTATAACTATAAGTAGTAAATTGTATGATCCCTTAAATTATCGCATAGAAACATTTGATACAGATTTTGAAAAATTTGTTAAAGAAGTTGAAGTGGCTGAGGTTGGTATGCAGCAATTTGTGAAATTGCTCACAGCTGAATGTCCAACAGCCGAATCAATGATGCTAATACTAAAACGATTTGAGGCACTGCACTTAGAATGCTTGTGCTTGGATCGAAGATATTTCAAGGTTGCTGAAATGTTAGAAAAGGAAATGCTCTTGCTCAAGGATGTGTATAATGAGGAACGCGGTAATCCCTTTATACCTCGGAATTTACCTCCTGTAGCTGGTAGAATAGTCTGGATTCGTTCGATTTTTAAAAAAATTGATTTACCAATGCAAGCTTTAAAGTTACGACATTGTGTTCTTGCCCATAAAAAAGCTCAGCGTACAGTTCGCTACTATAACTACATGAATGGTATTGTTTGTCATTATGAAATGGCTTATCATAAAGCTTGGTTTGATTACGTTGAGGAAGTTCGATGTGCTCTTAATGCCCCAATTTTAACTATTAATAAAGACGAAGCTCTATATACTATAAATTTGGATCGCTCGATTTTGCAACTTATATCTGAAACCGAATGGATGTGGAAACTGCATTTGGAAGTGCCAAATATGGCTTCAACTGTGGCTTATTGCAAGGATCGTATCTTTCATCCATTTAATACTTTAAAACTAACGTTGCAACGGTTAGATCGATTGCGATCATCACTAACTCCAGTATTTATTAATATAATGCGGTTTCGGTTACAAGAAATATCGGTAATGCTTAAGCCTTCGCTGTCGTCGGTAACATGGATATCGAAAAATTTGGAAGATTATGTAGAAAAAGTGTGTATGGTAAGCATGATACTCAATATGTTATTTCCTATTTAAAAGATGTTTAAAACTTACAGAAAATTCAAGAGGTAGAAATATTTTTTGGTTTGATTTTGGACATTGAGGAACTTCGAGTCATGCAAGAAATATATAATATATCAGAATTCTTATATATTTATGTTCCTGATGAACCCGTTTCATCCTATCAATTTGTTGAGGAGAGTAATAAGCTGCGAGCAAAAATTGGTGAGTATTATCTTGAAAAACACAATTCCATTTAATAAACTATTATGAAAACTTTAAGAACGTGTACTTGAGAAGAAGTCAATCTGTATGGAACGTGCTGTTATTGACATTATAAATATGTTTATCGATTTACTGGACTTTGAGCAGTCAGATTCGAAGGGTCGACGTGTATTCCAGCTACCAGCTGAAAAATTAAATGATAGTAATTGGCGTACGGAGGGGTTTTTACCTATTGATAAATGGGATTTTATTCAATTTCACAAAATATACCGAACAATTTACTTAGCACCTGACGATGTACTAAGGACTTTACAATTTAGAAATTATGAGAATATACGGTATGAACTTCACCATTTACGTAATGACTGTATGGATCTGTTTTCCTACTATAACTCAAAAATCATTTTGGCCTTGGTTGCTGGATCTAAACGATCTTTAGATTTTGTACGACAAAATATACTCAGGTAAGAAATTTTTTATACCAAGCATATATATTTACTATTAACTCTCATACTATATTCATTGTTCCGTCGATCCGGACTTACTATTAAAAAACTTAAAAGCCACAACAGTTTAAAGCAATAAATTACCATAAAAAATTATTTATTTGCACATTTAAATAAAAATATAAAATTGCAGCCGACTGCTAGTCCACGATAAATGCTGAATGTCAAGAGGGCGGTTGTGACATAGCCGTTCAGTTCTGGAACTGTGGATCTAAAACTTTGGAAACAGTAGTTTTACTGATATACAAAATATTTTCAGTTTGCCATGCGCCTGTAGGTGTCAGCATATAATTTGTAGTCAATCCTTAAAAAGTGTCTAATGTAAACAGCAGACAGCGCATGGTAATTACGACAGGACGCAAAGGAATTTTATATCTTTTATATTGAATAGAGCGTTGTCAATATACTAGACTAGACTTTCAGATAATCTGTCTCTACTAAACCACATAAAATATTCTGCTCTTTGTATTATCGGCAAGCTCAGGAATGAACATACAGCATATTCAAGAACTCTAAGAATGCCGCTTGCAGGGAGTGTAATAGGAATAGATCATATTACATGCTTAGAATCTAAAATTATACTTACCAACGCTGAGCCTTACATACTCAGCATAGATATGTTAGGTTTAAGGCATGAAATACGCTTGAGTATGGGTTTAAGAATTCTAGCTTAGACAAATAAAGATAATTTTTCTTTGGCTTACCAGTTCAAGCTGTGAGTAGAGGTACAGTACGATCAACCAGGCGGTCAAAACAAAAACACCTCCAACGGGTCAAGCCAAAGGGTAAATTAAGTTCAAATTATCACACGAAAAAAAAAACACAATCAAAATGCTGTCGGCAAAAACTCTGGAGTTGCTCAAAAAGCAATCAGAGATCTATGACAAGATCCGGCAGAGCATCACGAACAAGGATGCGTTACCAGCCATTGATAGATTGGCAGCAAATTTTCAAATGAAACAACACAAACAAAATGCTGTCGGCAAAAAGCAACCGGAGGTCTATGACGATGATAGTGTTTCATTGAAAAATTGGCAGAAGAGTTTACTACCAATCATCTAAAGCTGATCACAATCGGCGTCGTCGATCATCAATATTTTAAGGAGAAAATATGTGATTGCATAATGGAAAAACTACGAAGAGTCTCTGATGAAAGTCGAAGTTGACGACCATGCCATAGACACCGACCAAACAGTATCCATTCAACCAGAGACATTCAAGGCACAGCACAGGCAGCAGGAAATAATATTTTCCCAAATAAACTCGATGGAAGTGATGGTAGATCTTGTGGACAAACGATCTCTAAAATAAGACTGGAGCTCAGTAGCCAGGAAGAAATTCTTGACTATAAAGATAAGTTGATTTTCCTGTGGAACAAATCCAGGCACCGCTCTCGGATTTAGAGGCAAAATATGGGAAATTTGCTTTTGATATCGATGATACAATGTATGCAAGCGCTACGAAAATACGCGCAATATATTTGGTAGACGGATCTGCTGAAGAACAATGATGAAGGCAGATCCGCAAGTTCTTCGACACAGCAACAAAATGTATTTTAATTATCAAAGAAAAAGGCTAATTTGGTAATGAAACTTACGTTCTATTCGCTCAGATTCTGTTGCGACTATTCTCTACGGAAGTCCTACAACTTTACGAGCAACATGTAAAGGCTAGAGAAATTCAGTCCTTGGGCAATGTGCGGGAGTTTATTGTGCAACTGTAAAACTGAATAGACTCAGTGGAAAAGAGTGCCACCCATATGTCGATGAAAGCAAAGACGAGTTACAAAATACGCAGTTTTTGCCAATTGACTGGACATGAGACAACCAGGTGTCCGAGATTTAGACCTGAACCTGTTAAAAAGCGCTGGAGGTTTGTATATAAAAACACGTTGTGCTTTAATTGTCTTGGCACCAATAGAATTGAAGATTGCAAAAAGAATTGAACTTGCAATCAATGTACCAAAGCACACAACAATTTGCTTCACGAAGTTGCAAATAATAAAGAGACCTTCAGCAGCAACTGTCTAAATGAAAAAAAAAGGGCGAGATCCTTGCTGGCGACTGCGCTCATCCAACATGCGTGTCGCCCATGAAAAGACAAAACTTTTTAAAGAAAGCGTAAAATTTTTATGCTTTGTAGTGACCAAAGATGAAGCTAAAATAGACCCCGAAAACGTAAACGCCATACAGCAATTCCCTGAGCCAGAAACTTATTCAGCTTTCGATCATTCCTAGGCTTGGCAAGCTATTATAGAATATTCATTAAAGCCTTTGCATCAATAGCAAGGCCATTAACAAACATACTCAAGGGAGAAAATGCCTCTAAAAACAAGCACAAATCCGCAATACTTTCGAGAGTTTGAGGAACATCCTACCCTGACATTAAAGGAGAGAAAATCTACCTATGCTACCAATAAAAGGGAGTTACTAGCTATTTTCCGGACTTTGGAAAGCTACAGAACTATCTTTATGGAATTCACTGAATTCCCCTTACCTTCGCTGGCTCCGACTGAATCATTATTGATGAACAAACCAGGGAAATAAACTTTAGTAGCAGACACTCTTCAGGCAAAATTTAAAATCCATACAAGATGAACCTTCATAAGACGCTGCAACAATTCACAGCGATATCTCACTAACCTATTCTGTTGAAACAACTGACAAACCACTGAATTGCTTCAAAAACTAAATCGTCTTAGAAGAAGCACAATTCCAGCTACAACGAAAATTTATATTCTTCGGTAACAAAATTCGCCACATCAATGTTCCCATCTACAAAAGGTTGGCACTGTAAAAACTATTTTAGATATCACTGATAAAAACGAACAAATTGATATTATTACGTCAGAGCACAGCCGCGCGATTTTTTTTTTTTAATTATAAAACTCTTATTCTCATTGCTGGACTTCTTCATTCTAGTCCCCGAACTGAACTAATCTTTATTCGTTTTTCTTATTGCCAGTCAATCTTATAATGTTGCTAGACTATCCTGTTGCTGTTTTCTAAGAATTTTAATTTCATTAAGTTGCTCAATCTTTCATAATGATTCAATGTACTTAAGTATGTCATCTCTTAGTGATGACAAATCGCTTAAAAACATGCTTATCGATTAAAATATGTTTATGTATAATGAGAAGAGTTATACATAACTCGCGCACAGAGCCGCACAGGAAAACGTAAAACAAGTCCTTCGTGACTACTATTTTCCGTAAATGGACAGCTTAGCAAAAGAACTAGTAGTTAAATGCAAAACAAGCACCAAATCTAAATATGTCAGGCATCCACCAAAACAACAGTTGGGAGCCTCACTAATACCGTCTTATGCTGGCGAAATGCTGCATATTAACATTTTCTCTACTGACAAAAAGCTCTTCCTCACTTGCATAGACAAGTTCTGTAAGTTCGCTGTCGTGCAACCAATCCCATCACGAACAATAGTCGACTTAAAAGTGCCCATTATTCAGATTGTCAAACGGCTGACACAATCAACAAAATAGTAAAAGCCATAAAGAATGACTTAATTGACACACCACACTTGTATGAAACACTATTATCAAGAAATAGAAGATTAATTAATCAGATATCAAACTTAATTCTTACAATTACACTGGCAAAAGCCGGCATAATAAGCCAAAGTATTTTTGAACCCAATGATTTTAAAACTATTTTAAATGCACACCCCGTAGAAATTCCTATAGTTGTCTTACCGAAGCGTCTACAATTAAGGTCCTTCAGTCCAAAAAGTTTATCTGCAAGAACGTTATCTTTTCGGTATCCCACCAACACGCCGCGCTACAACTACAAGACGACATCGTTGCCTAATGCAACGGTATCCTAGCAGTCAACGAATGTGTAACAACGACGTACGCTTACGTTTGCGAATTGACACAGTCGGGCATGACCCATTACTGAGCATACCAAAACTCCACAGGATGAGCAACTAAAATCTGCAAGTCATCCTGAACTTCAGAAGCGAGCGCGCATCCGCTGAGACATCCAAGAACCTGGCTACGTTTAGCGTCTTCCTCAGCATCGGTTTCAGTGGATTCATCATCACTTGGCTGGGAATAAGAGGATGGCAAGCTTCAAGTTATCATCAACGGTTACAAGGTGTCCGGGGACGGTCAGAAACTTCAAGGGGGTAGCTAATCCATAAGAATTGCCTTAAAGTATTGAATAAGCATTTATTTCAAACATTGCCATTTGCTACAGACCTATTTCGCTGAAACAAACGACTGGCAGCGGTAACTCGATATTTGACTATGTCGCGGGTGTCCGCGTTATCATTTACGCTGCAACTAGCTCCGGCAACTAGCCGTATGACATTTGACTTATTAATTATTACATTACTGAGACACAAGGCCAGTAATCGAATACTTAATTGTATTCCAACGGCCAACGGTATCTTCTAACGAGGACCCCTGGACAGGACAGATTACATAACTTGCATAGTGATCTGGTAACATTCCTTTGGTGTTCAAAAGTAATAAATTCAGTTTTGTTTAGATCACGCTTGCATTTGAAATTTAGAATCAAATGGGATTTCGACCGTATTTGGTATCCACTGAAATTGGTTTCGATTGAAATTTATTTATATCATTCATGAAACGAGGGAGGAATCGGTACCTGTTGAAAGCAGTATTAATAAATCTTAGGAATATTACACAATATCTTCAGGGCTATTTGAAATTGAATAAAGCATATATAAGCATAATAAAGATATAAAAACTTGTTTGAGCTTCGACTTGAAATTTTTTTTGTAGGTCCGTGTATAGCACGCGCATATCGACTTTGTTTCAAATAATCGATAACTACTCACATTTAACTGTTATCGAATAAAAGGACGTCTTAAGAGCTAAAGCCTCCAACTTTTGTATTTAGTTTAAAATTTAAGTTTAGTTGGAACTAGGGCCATTATGTGAAGGCGTTTGCATCTCAACCAAGCCAATAGCATAT